TATTTTGATGCAATAAATAAAAACAAAAAACTATGGAAATCACAAATCTGTAAGTATTTAAAATGGATGTAATATACATTTGTATATATTTTTGGTTATTCAATAAACAGTTCATGTATAAAAAAAAGTGTTATGTTTATCTATTAATAATTCACGAAAATTATAAATTCAATTTCAAATTTTACGAAATTGATGGATTGGATAGAAAAAAAAAATTCTACGATAGTGAAAAAACAGAAACGTTTTAACAATGATATTATAATAAAACAAAATATTAATTAGTGAGTAATTACAATTTGTAAAATTAAAACTACTTCTCAAATATCTCGAGTTAAGTATATACCTTTGTAAAATTATTATTGAATGACTTAATATTTATTATTAATTTAGAATTGAATATTATATTCTATGCAAAGTAAATACATTTATTAATTTTTAAGTACAGTGATTAATAATGCATTGTTAATTATGAACAATTTGTGTTTAAAAATTTAGATGAGTATAAATGTAAATATATATTAATATATTTGAATTTCCGTCTTATATAAGTACAGTTGGAGATGGTTATTTTCTAGAAAAAGTCCGAATCAATTAGAAAAAGTATCAAAACTATAAAATTCATGAATATTAAAACCCTTGTTCTTTACTTGGTTTGTTTTAGTTACTATATTTTAGCTAAAAAAAAATAATCATCCTTGAGCTATATATTTATTCAGTAAATATTTCTTTTAGCAATAATATACATGTATAAATAACAAATACTAATAATAAGTGAGAATAACTAAAAAACGTTATGATTTAGCATGTAACGGTTATATAGTTTTGAAAATTATAATATTGTTTCTGTTTAATTAATGAAATTGGCAGTATTATTAAAACAAAAGGTCTATCGATATAATTCATTGTCAATCATACGCCTATCGTATTCATTTAAAAATCTGAAAACAAAGTTCCATTTGAATATTCAAACTTCTGACTGTAATGGGTATTTCAATCACAGAAACAAAAATGCATTATGTATGAAATTAAACGGAATTAATTAAACGGTTCGCTTTTTCAGATTTGGTGAAATGGAATTTGAGACACGAATTTTTTTCGAATCGAACTATGTGTAAAATATCCCCGAAAAATCCTCGACCAAACGTTCCTTTTTCTGCTGTATACAATAATTTGTATAGATTACAATAAACCGACCAATGCCTCTCGGATTCGTTTTCCGAATACCATGATTTATATTTACTTTCAGCTTTAATGACATTCGACTCCCTTATATCCCACTCAAAAACTAGTGCCCACGAGGGTTTTCACATTAGTTTGCAGTTTGTGTGAATATTGAAAATATTTATAAGAATCAAATAAATCTATTGATCCGGATACATATTGCATTATTAATGAGTCTTTGAAAGCGATAGAGCAAGTCTTGGTGAGAAACTTGTAAGTTTTGTTATCATAGTTATTGAACTGTACATGGGTTTAATAATTTTACAGAAATATTGAACACGCGGTACATGCGCAAAATGTTGTCGAGACGCGGTTGAAATGTAATTTTTACAAAACATGAACTTCATACACGAAATCATCAACGATAAATACAATTGTAAATTTGCTGAAAAAAGAAATACAACATTTATTTAGAACAGTTGACATCATGATGAATTTTTTTTTCAACGCTGTCATAAATGTACTTTTCAGGTCACAGTTGTTTTTAAACGTCTGAATGTTATCATAAAAAAAAAAAAAATCGTTTTTAAAGATTAGTGTTATATTCGATCGAGAATACTAACTGCACGGCACGGAGGCGGAAGTATAATTCTCCGCGACACACGAACATAATCGTTAAGGATTAATCCGTTTAGACGCGATTCCCGGGCGCAGCGAAGGGTACTAATGAACGAGGCAAAGTTCGCCAGTGTAACCGAACGTTGTACTATGTGACCCCGGGGCCACCGCTCGTACTTGATTTTGCGCGTCATGTCGAGAAACGCGATTTGCACGACGCGGCGCGTGTGATTATTATTATTCGAAAACGACACGAAGAAATGTTACGTGACGGCAGCACGAACTCGCCGTCTATTAATCGCATACTTTAAAAACATTATCGTTACAATGTCGGCGGTTCGCACTTACACGTACCTGCGTCACATTGTATTACGCGTTTGATTCACAAGGACGCGGCGCGATTGAATAGGTATTCCGTACAAAACGTAGCCGCAAGAGACGTGCGACAGGTCTGTAATGTACGTTGTCATCATATTATTAAATGATACTCTCGAATTCTTTATCATCAATATCATCATGGCTTGTTTACATTTTTTGAACATGTCTTTCCATACGTTTTCCTTTATTTGGTGACCTTTATAAGCATATTATATTGCAAGTCAAATAGGCATGGATGTCTACTCACATAATAATTAGCCAGCATTAGAATGTAAAAATTAATTTTGAAGAAATTTCGAAATTTAGTTTCGAAATTTTATTTCGGGAATTTATAATTTATGTTGAATATAGAAATCAATATTTTTAAGTTTGATCGATGAGTCAACGATGGTCGGTCGCGCGTCTCGTGCGTTTTGACCGCCTGTTGAACGGTCATCGGCCACGCGGCGGTGTTGGGAATAGGTTTCATTTAATAATAGGCAAAGCAGCTAAAATTAGAGTCACGCCGCGTCGGTCGCTCATCTGCAGACGCGTGTCCTTAGGAATACGCGTGCGGCCGCGGTCCGCGGACAAACGCGCCCCTTCGTAATGGTCTGACGCGACGTCGGTCACGACGGCGGTATATTTCGAAACGCTACCGTGCCATACCATTTAGTACACAGTAGTGACCGTGGCAACACGTTATGGATTCGATTGTCGCAAGTGCCGCTGCTGCTGTTGTCACACGGATCGGTGATGTCCAACGTATTGGCGTTCGTGAAAAAAAAAAAAAAAAATGTTAAAAAAAATACCGCTAATCCCGCCTCTACGCGGGGCGGACGATTTTCGCGTACGATCGTTGTGTCGCTGGTGCGGGAAATTAATAGAAATAAAAACAATTCCCATTTAAACGTTGGAATAATTTCATTCGCCTTTTATTGTTGATAAAAAATTAATCCTGTATAAGTAAACAGTAAAATGTACACTGTACGATACGGGTATACTTTATTTTTTCAGTCGATTAAAGTACAGGACATCAAAGTTTAATACCACCGAAATTCCGGTTATGTTTCGATTCGAAAAAATATTACTCGTCTCGCAGCAGTCACTGATATTGAATTTAATTTTTATTCGCTAGGAGTTCTATAATCCACGTGAAAAATTGTGATGTCAAGTTAACGACTCGTTATATAACCGTATTTGAATGTTGACAATAAAGAAAAAAACAGCCATCGATTTCAAGTTCTAACGAATAAACGAAAAAAAAAAAAATGGTTAAGTTTATTTTTTAAATACATGAAAAATATTACATGACCGGTTATGTGGATTGAAAACATGCGATTGATCAAAACCAAAATATTCAATGGGTATTAAAAGCAACGAATTAAAATGTATTTTCAATTATTTAATTTTTGTATTTCAAGTTTAGCCGAAGTATGGTATAAATTGCAATATTTACATGAGCACTGTTAGCTTACTTGGATCAAAATAATTACTCGAATTAACTGATAAGTAAGGTAAATAATTAATTAAGTTTAAATTTTTTTTAAGTTAGACAATTTTTTGATTAATTTTAGTTTGTTTTATTTTTTGTCTTATTGTTTGTCTACTAGTTTTTTATAAGGTTCTTATTATTTTTTTTTTTTTTAATTTATACAACGTAATTATTGATTAAATTATTGAAGTATACAGGGTAAATACAAGATGTTTATCCGAGAAAAGTAATTATTCTAAGAATTATATATTTGCTATACGCAATTCATGCACCATAACGTTTGTGTTACATCGTTCAAATCAATTTTGGCTTATTTTATATTCTTATGAATTATGAAACAAAAATGATCGAAAACTTATGATTGTTGCAATACCAGAAAAATGCATGTGTCCTTTTAAAATAATCATTTTGTTTTCAGGAGATACACATTTCAATATTTTGATGACAATTAAAGGTATTGCTCCACAGAAAAGATTAGAAAAATCTTTTAAACTTTCAATAGCATAATTTACATTCTGATATTAGTTTAGTTCAAAAACTATTATTCGTTATATCAATATCATATAACTTGATAATGGTAAATATCAAATAATTTAATTTGATACGGTATTAAATTATCTTATTACAGAAAGTTAATTTATGTAAATAAGTAGAAATATCGTATGTACTGTTTATGATCTAATCGATATAAAATATAACTTGTGTTTAATGAATTATTTTTAGTCTATGGCCATCATATGTAGAATATTTTATCAAATTTACATTTGCATTATAAACACTATTTGTATCCAATGTTTTTTTTTTATGTACACTTGGTTATTTTATTGTTTATTTATTTGTTTTATTATTTTATTAATCATTTCTATTGTATTTTTATTTGTTTATTATTTTATATATCATTTCTGTTGATGTGAAGTTAAGTTCCACGAAAGTTGTAGTTTAGCAAAGTATAACGATTTAAGTTACATGGTATGTCGTTAGAACAACGTTCACGTGTATACGCTCAAGTATAAAATTGTATCTCGATAAATTTCATTATGACAGAATGATTAATAATGTTTTATTTAAGATATAAGTTGTAAATATTACGTTAATATGTGAGTACGAGTGCCAGAATTCGTAAAATATTTCATATTTATATTTATCACGGATATGATTATGATTTCATCCATAATACCACGTATGTAAAATGGACGAAATAAGCGTAGTTTAAAATTTAAAAATTACTTTTGAATCGCATTTTTATTTTTATTTTTTTACTAAAACAAACATTTCCAAAGACCTTTTGTAAAATTTATTTCTTGGAAGTTTTTAAATATGTAAATAGATATCATTATATCCGTAAGTAAGTAGAATTATTGAAACTCACCAACGCGTATCTTGGCTCATTCTGGTAGATGGTACCAACTCGAGTCCAATTGAAGTGTCTGAGCAGTGCAAGTCGAGGAGCGTTAAATGCGTTTTCACTTGGGACAACTCGGAAAAAGTTTGGGAAATCCGTACTGCTGAACATCGGGTGAGTGTCTGCGTAGGACAACTGAAAAATAAAAACAATTCAACAGTCATACAATTAGTGAAATACATTACACTAAAATCGTTATTCGTGTGTGTATATAGATTTATGTGTTATTCTTATTAATTAATTTATTTAGAGTCCTTTTTATTATTTATTTAAAAAACAAATTTATTTATATCAATACTATGAATTACTAACAATTTTATAATTTATCGGCAGGGTTAGATTAAAATTAATATTAATGTGTCATTCATCTCTGAAAAATTTATTCAGTTACTTTGAATAAATATTTACTTTGAATTATTTCATCAACATAGAGTTCATTGAAGTTTATTTATTAACGAACACTCATTATAACAGTCTAGTAAAAAAAAACTTAAGTTGCTGAAAATAAAAATGTTTTTCTATTATTTTGTGATGTTACTATATTATATTTTGTTAATTTTCTTGAAAGATTTTTTTTCATAAAATAAAATAATAATAATAATGTATCAATGTATATTTTTCATTTCATACTTTGACTTTCTAAGTAAGTTCTTTAAGTAATTTTTTTAAAGTCCATAAGTTAATCGAGGGATTGTGTTTTGTTTGTTAATCGACTTCTACAACGATTCATAAAAACACTAGATGACTTATTTACAATAAAAATTATATTCATACAGTGTTCTGCACGAGAGTTACATTGTTTTATATTTTAATGTTGGACACAGTCGCATGGCGATGTAGGTAATCGAGATACGGTTACCTTTCAGTTTTTTGAGTGGAATACAAAATATTTTTACCTCTGAAAATGATTGAGTTCACTATACCACTGGTACAGATCTACAATTTATATTGATTATCATTCCGTTTTGCATAGAAAAATAAGTTGTGGTAAAATTTTGATCGAACTTTCAAGGTACTTGATAAAAAGTTTTAGAATTTATCCAATTGGTGCTTTTATGGCAGATTTCAACATAACATTAATATTATTCTTTTTTTTTTTTTTTAATTTAGAAATTATTTTCAAGAAACTTTGCTTATAATCATTATATTTCAGAAGTACAATTTTTATTAAAAATAATTTCTACTGTAAGAAAATATTTATTAACAAAACAAAATAAAAATCTATAATAAAATGACAACTTTGTTAAATTTGTAGTAAAACAATTTCCTTATCATATATATTATTAATAAAAAAAAAAAAAACTTATTAATTAATTTACAAATTAATTTTTAGATTTCTTGAAAAACAAGAACATTCAGAATACATTTATTGCACGTCACTTTATTTGAGTTTCCGTACACACATTTATAATGTCATATTTACGTTTTACTTCTATTCATTCCTTATCTAAAATATAAGTTGAAATGTTAATTGTACTTGGAAATATTAATTGCTAATATGGAAGTTATTTTAATACTAGTCATCAATTTCAAATTATAAATTAAGAACTATTTACAGTATAGTACTGCACTAAAAATGTAAACGAATTAAAATATGCGTAATAAATATTTACAAATCTTTGTAACACTGAATAAATGTACTCTGAGTTTTCAATAATTTATATAAAAATAAAGTATCCAAGAATAATATTTCTATTTGAATTTACCTAGTTACACATAGTAACGTATCGAAGATAACATTTAATGGAATGTGAGTGCATAAATTATGGAGTCAATTAATCAATCACCTTTTACGGGTGGTGATGTTAATGTAGCAGGTTAGGTTAGGGGTCAGGGGTGTATGAAGAATCTTGCTGAGAGATCATTTTTGGTTTAATATTCAGCCTAATATTCGTTTGATTTCAATTAATTCGGCTCAATTTTTTTATGTTTATTGCGAATATTCACTCATTCGTTTACCTCGCCGTTGTAGCTGCTTTTTATCTTATTTTAATATTATTGAAAGTCGAAAACACAATAATACGTTACTATTAACCAGAGTATACACTTTCGATTTTGATTTATGAGATCAAACAAACGTTTTTCTCTTACACAATACACCTGAGCATCGAAACTACTAACTTTTGCCGTAAATTATGAATTATGAATTATTGAAATTATGAAAATTTTAATGGATTACCACGAAAAAGAATATTAAACATTATATATATAATATGAGTACAAACAAATACAAAGATAATCTCTCAGAGCGAATACATTTTTTACGCGTTTATATATATATATATAAATATATACAATCTGAGCGATTGTCTTTGTATTTGTTTGCAAATAAATAGGTATCGTGAATATATTGTAAAAAGGTATTGTGAATAATAAAACCATGGTTTTATTATTCACAATACCTTCTAGAAATGTTCATATAAATTATAAAACACACACGAACGAAAAATAAATAACGATTTCGATTTAAACGATTTCGAGTAACACGCGGATTTAATGTTGCTCCTACAGATTTCCTCTAAAAATTAAGATTAACTGTTTGTTTGGTTAACCAAATCGGTCCTTAGAGATTCAATATTGTGTTTCTTCTTATTCTTCATTAATCAATATTGTATGAATAATGCTCCATTATATTATTATACTGAATATTTGAATACAATTAGTTTTTGTTTATTTTATTGTTCGAAATATCAACATTAAATGACGAATAATGGTTTTAAACTTTACAATGTACATAAGTTTAATTTGATGTTATGAGTATAATTTGTACTATATTTTGTTTAGAATTATAATTGTGAAATATAATTATCATAAAAGAATTTTGTTTTACCCTAAACTTACATAATATGAAATTATTTCATGTTATCTGCTGCAGTGTTTTAACATTATATCCTTATATATTTAAATATAATCATTTTATGGTAAATTAAGCTCGTTGAATAATTCCAATAAATTCATAAAACATTTTTCTTAGGTCATCACAGTCAAAATATGTATTTAGTTTTAATATTAGGTCTAAATTTTATTATATCGTAATACTATGTTACTGAGTCAATATAAAAAGTAGATAATTTGAAATACAGCGAAACTGATTGTTTTACGAATTTTATGACTTAAGTTCTTTAAACACATGTTGAGAATAAAAATTGGTTCTTAATATCTCATAGTATTTCATTATTTAATCTCATAAGTATGTGATAAATATGGTAGTTTGAAGGATCTGTTATAAACTCAGATATTTTCCGTTATTTTTACCATAATTATGGTATAACCTAATGCAACCTTATAATATATCCCTATAACCTATAGTATACCATAATCAAAAGATTGAAAAAAAAAAAAAAAAATGGTAAATAATTTTTGTATATCCTCCAGAAAATGTTAAATTTGTAAAATAAGTATAACTAGATACTATTATCTAAACTAGACTAGCTTATTTTACTAATTGCTAAATATTAAATCTGTTCGAATCGTTTTAAATTGTTGAATCTTATACATGGAAAGATTCATCAGGTTCACGTATACCAAAGATAATTTTTCGATTAATATATGTGAGCAGTAATCAGAGCAACATAAATTGTAAAACTTATAATATATAGTTTTGGATAAACCGTATTCATCGTACTACTTTAACGTGAACAAAATATACAGTTATATTAAAGTCACAACCCCATTATTACTAAAGAAAGTTGTTACTGTGTTAAATGTTATAATTGTACGAGAGGAATTATTTTTGTTGTTAAATTTATATTGTTTAGCCTTCGATTATTAGAATAATAATATACAGCTTAAAAGTTGTCTTTAAATATCCATATTCGTTTCCATGCAACAGTAGTATCCAGTCCATAACGTGTAACGAACAATGACGAATATTATTATTAACGAAATAATTAAATAAGTCTAAGAGAATATTTTACATTTAAACGTAAACTATTATAATAAATGCGTATGTAATATATTCACGACCCTGTGGTATCATTAATTGGATCTAAAATAATATATTGTGTTCAAATTGCGAGGCTATTATTTTCATGTCGTTGACACTTTCGAAAATAAATGATAATAATATTCTTTTTTGATCTTGAATATCAATAAAAATATCCCATAAACTCTTTGGAGATCTTATTTCTGATTCTTTAAACCTTAAATATTTATACGGTGAACCATAGCATCGGTAAAATGAGTGAAGCGAGAAAAACCAAATACTTCAAGGGTGTACAGTTACGATATTCAACTTAGCTTAACATATTTTATGATCATGCTATGTCAAACATTTAAATTTGACGAGTGGCTTAGAATCATAATCTATAGGGATATTGCGTCACTAGGTTTTCTTTTGGGGGGAAGGTTCATAAATGTCAAGCGATTTACGGTTATAAAGTATCATTTGGAAATCCCTACCAATACGACCCATCAATAGAATAAGCTTTAAATCTATGGTCCACCAATATATAAAAATACATTTTAATTTAAGTGATGTTTTTTAAATATTGGTTAATATGTGTTGAATTTTTTTTGATATTCATCAATTAAATACGTTGATTTTCTTTGGGAAATTTCCATATAAATACGAAATTTATATCATTACTACCAGATGGATTTTGGAACAGTAACATATTTCACACGCTGTGATATTTAATTCACATTAAAAATAGATCTGTAAAAGTTTAACACGGATATTCATTGAATAAATCAAATTTGAATTACAGAAAAAGCTTCTGGCTTAATTTTACATTTCAATATTATTTATACGAGTGTTGTTGCAATTAAAATTATGAAATTAGTATACTCGTAAGTAGCGCACTTTGTAGAGCTTGCTCACGTTTTACACAAATTATTTTCATTCGTTCATCAGAATGTAATTTGCACTGTTGGTGCAGTGTTATGAGTTTGAAATTCCAGTAATTTTTTAAGAAAAGTTTTATAACAATACCAATTCAGAGTTTAAATCGTACGGTAAATAGGGAACTATGTAAACTACAGACCAATTTAAATTCAATAATTAATACGAGAATATCGATCGACAATAATGTTTTATGTAATCCCAAATTAATACCAGTTATGCATTAATTGTGTACATTATTTTCCAAACCATCATTAATTTATTTCAAATGAAATTATGTACTATTACTCTTCATTCGAGATTAAAATATGTTAAACGATCTAAATCATCAATGGACCCATGTCAAACACTCAAACTTGATAGATATATCAAATTTTAAATGACAATTTAAAATTATATATTCCCTTCGGCTTAGGATTTGATTTGCTCATTTTTAGGTGATCGTAAACACCAAATATTTACATACATATAATAACGTGCTTGCGTTCTCGAAATAACAGTCGAATGTGATTGTCGAATAGATAATTAGAATATAATAAAATCAAAATTGTCATATTGCGTCAAACAAAGGTTATGATGGCAGGGTAGTTGATTGGATGAGTTGTGCAAATGATAAAAACATCGTTGTTTACTTACTTGAGTGATTCGCCAATGTTTGGATGCTTTTGCAATCGGATCCGTCACTTGGGTACAAGCAGCACCGAACAACATTACTTTATGTGGACCTTCGTGCATCATGTCGAAAAATGCTTTCATACCAACTGCAGCATTGCACTGGAAAAAATAATATGTACATAAATACAATGAATTCTGCCTAATATGGACGTCCGCGTAATATGGGCAAAATGATCTGGTCCCCAATCCAATGTATACTGAGAAGGTTAAAAAAACTGCATAATATGGACACTTTGTGCATTGTGGGCAATATACTCGTATATTATATATACGTTATAATATGTATTAAGAACTAATTTAATTGAATTTATAATTAGAGATCGGGTTTAAAAGTAGTAATACAAATCATTAACCTTTAAACCTTTAATGGAATTATACTTTGAGTTTCATTGAGTGTAAAGGAGTGTTATCGAAAGCAATATAAAATATAAATAAATAAATAAAGTGATAAACTTGTGGCTTTTTTTCCTTGATTCGACCAGTAATTTCAGTTTTACCGTGAATTTCAACGAAATCGTGAACGTTTTCGATTATGTCTCGAAAATATATTTCCTTGAAGGAAAAAAATCACGGTTTTGTACTAAGTAGAGACTCTTTTCCCGAGCTCTTAACAACGTAAAATCGCTTAAAAAATGATGCGTCTGAGATAATATTATTCATTTTTTGTTTGTACATTTACTTATCTATTATATTAATTTAATTTTTTTTTTTTTATAGTTTTTTGAGTAACGTGTGCAAAATAAAAACCTTTCGATGTTGAAATTGTTGGTGTTTTTTAAACTAAGTTCGGTTAATATGGCAAATGGATATCATCCTAATGTGTCCACTTTAAGTGGAATCCACTGTATACAAATTACTCATATATTATAGGCGAAACGATATTTGTGTATAGTCTCTATTTATGTCATATATTAATCAAATGTTATGCTTAAGCGCTGTACATATTTCTTAAAACTAATTTTTTTTTGAAGTTATAGTGATGATTCTTCACTCGTACAAGTGCTATTTTTTGAATTAAATTTTTACATAAATTACGTTTATCAAGTTTTACAGTAAATATTACAATATCCTAACCTAACCTGAATGAAGTATGTTAATGAGTATTATATGCACTGTAATAAAATTAACAAGTTTTCAATGGTAAATCATGTAAAAACAATCATTCTGTATCGATATAATAATCCGAATACAAGTGAATTATTATTGGATAATTAATAGATAACACGGATGAGCAATTTTTAGTTAAAAAAAATTTTCACAGCATGATTGCTGAAGACCAAGGTAAGAGAAAAAAAATGTTAAATAATATCACATAAACGTACACGAATATTTTACATTGTCAAATGCAGATAGCAGAACGAAAAAGTTTACAGCGTAATATATTATAAAAAGTATAGTAATATTTGAGACAAGTTTTCTAGCTATTCTGCAATGTAAAATGTAATCTCTTGTACAACGCGTGTTTACTTTTATAATGAGGTGCAAAGGGAACAAACAAAACCTCCATTATAGAACAAATTATTAAATGTATAAACATATAAGTTCACATCTATACCCACGAGGTTGATGTATTCAATATTATTATATTTTATAAGAGTTAATTTTCGACCAAATCATAAGGATATAGGTATACGATATTATATTAAAGATCGAAAAAAAGAATAAAAGAATAAAATTTAATATTTATTTAATATAATTTAATTTAAGAATAAAATAAAGTATGATCTTGTATAATAAATATTTTATCAATATTTTGGTAAGTTAGTTTAAACGATCAAACGGAACAAAATAATAATAAAATAAAACTTGAATTATTAATTTATAATTATAATATTTTAATACCTTAAGAATCAATAATTCAGTACAAAATATTTAAATTAAAATTGTAATATTAATATTTTTTGATTATTTTTAATTTATGTTTGCAATTAAATATTTTATATTTTATGTTAAGATAAAATTACAGATCAGGATGACACTTCATCGTTAGGTATATAGTATTACTGTATTAGGCTAACTTGAAACCAAAGTAAAATAGATTTCGAAAAAGTGATTTTAAGTGAAGAATATCGGAATAATTACTTAATATTACTATGGATTGTTGACATAATAGAAGATACAAATTTCTTGATAAGGAAAATTACACTATTAATATTCTTATTTTTGCTATAAAAGAAAAAAAAGGAATCTAAAATTTGAGAAAATCAAAATTTTCAAGTGCCTATAAACAGCTTTTATATGATTTAAATATTTTGAAACTATGTTATATTTTTGAAACCGACTAAATAATATTTCCTAACAGAAACTCAAATTTGGTCTAAATTACACAGATATAGTACTAATTGTATTCCTTGTGTTACTGTGAATCTTAAAGTTCAATCATTATTTTAGTGTTTTCATAAAATAATTTAAATATGTAAAAGTAAAAGTTATTTTTTAAATAATGTATAGTGTATAATACATTTATAAAAGTTTTATTTCAGTACAATTCCATGATGGTATTTTTGACTATTCACTGGTATCCTCAAATTAAATTTAACACTGATAGCTTTAGATTTTTCGTTAAATTAAGTAGTTTGTCAATGAAGTATAACGAACAATTTATTAATAATTACATTTTTTATTATAATTTAAACTTATATACAAGTACTTAGTAAACTCATATGTTTTGTAATATTTAAAAAAGGTTCATCGGGTGTTGGCTCTATGTATTTTTAAAGAGGATTTAGTGACGTTAATCTTTAAACAAAGCTTATAAATAATAAGGTTTTATATAAAGCTGACTCAATACATCATATTGTTATATAATTTATTGACTTAAAGTCATATTAAGCTACTGTTTAGTTTTAATCCAATTTACTTTCAAAATAACATTAATAATTCAAATATAGATTTAATTTTATTAATACCAAAATAATAATAGTAATTTGTTTGATGAACGTTTATCATTTATATTGTTATAAAATATTTCAATATATCAGTATTTATTTAAAATCTTTACATTCATGTATATAAATTATTTAAAACTTTAAATGTGTTACAAGTATAACATAAGCCTATATGCATATAAACAACTACTTCGCCAATGATAACTTTTTCAGATGGAATTGCCAATGACAAAATAAATATTCCATTTTAGATAATTTGTACTGAAATTATATTGATTTAAAATGTTGGAAATGTAAAAAAAAAAAATTATTTTATATATATAACTAATATTTTTTTATAAATTTCCATCCATCACTTTGAACTATCATGAACTATTACATAACTTATAAAAATATGGTTATGAAAAATGTACATTGAATATTAAAATAAAATTATTTCTTTTAAAATGATTTACAATGCCGTTTATACACAATGTTTTACTAAAGTGAATTATATATAATTATATTATGTTATTCTATTTTAATTTATAATTATATATTAAATGTAAAGTCCGTTCTTAAAATAATTAACAAAAATTAATTTTAATTTCAAGTTGTATTATTGTTAAACAATCAACTACACTGCAGTGTTATTATAATAGTTAATTCTTATTTTAAGAATTTAAGTTGATGATATTACGTCAATTAATACAAAAGTAAGACATTGTGTTACTAGGTGGAATTCCGTTCATTCACGAAAAAAAATCTCATTATATACTATTGTACAATACCACTATACCATTATAAATACGTATATTTATTTTTAAAAATGTTATTGTAAAACCTTATAAAGTATAGATATAGTTTCTTGTATAGCAATTTGTAGCTTAAGTGCAATTTTCATACTATCGGAATATCTAATAATCGAGAATAAAAATAATGTATTAAATTGTTTACAAAATACATTGAAAATAAATATTTCTCATCAGAAATAAACATATTGCGTTTTTAAATAACAGTCATATTAATGTGTCGTTTAAATAAGTTTTTTTTCCCCGCAATATGATTGCGTTAATCATTTATTGTAAAACCTTCAAAATGAAAACATTGTGGCTACATTGTGTTCATGTTGTAAAATCTTTGTGTTACATATTCGCCTAGAAAAGATTTATTAGCCCCTTGACAACGCAACAACGCAACGTTGTGCCGTTAATTCCATATAAGTTTATTACAATACGAAAATTGTTATTATAATTATTATTTATTTATGTTTTTCATCCGTTTTTTATTTTGAAGAATTTCTTAATACATTTTAAAAAAGTCAAATATAGTTTGGAATCATCGTTTTTTTTATACAATAAATATACATAAAATAATGAACTATCATGTCTGATTTAGGCACACATTTTTTTTTTATTTTTATTATTATTATTATATTTCAACAAGATATTTTTCAATATTATTATATTGTATATGATAGTCTATCATGTTAACATGTTTCATTTCTACTTAATGTTATTTATTGTATTTTTTGAAATAAAGTAATAATATTGACTATCATAAAACGTTTAGATTAATAGTTTATGACATACTCATAAAATATCGAAATAAATATTAATGAAAATTTCTACTCCCTTACAAAATGGTACGGATAGTATCGAGAAATGGAATAAAGATAGTGATTCCATGTCTGGTAATAATTAATATGCGAGCTATATTAAACATCAAAATATTATAAGAAAAACACTATGAATTGAATTGAAAACAATAATAATCGGATTACTATATAATGTAAACAGTTATTGTAGATTCCATATTTTATTTTCGGATGTCAAGCAAAATGCGCTCGCACTAAGACGGCGCATCGTATAGGCAATACAGTAGTATAGAGATTTAGTTGAAAGTCTTAAATCTTCGAGTGCAGAATAGTACAATGGAAGTAAATTACCATTGACATATTTTTGGGTCGCGCATTTATTATGTAAATCTTGTTGAAAATTTATAAAAAATAATAAAAGAATATGGAAAGGTTGACTTATTATTTTTTTTATTTTTATTCAATTGTTTTAGCTACTGTTTGTTTTCATACACGAATGTAAAAATTACATTAAATTATAGAGGTGGTTGGGGACTTAACAAGAAATTTTTTTTATTATTTATTTACACTTTTCATTGTAGGAAGAAAAACGATAACTTAAAAGGTTTTTTTTCTTTTGTAAAAACAATTATCTA